ACGATTGGTCTCGGCCACTACTGTCCTGTGCAAACTGAACTGAACTGAACTGAACTGATCCATGTCCCTTGTTCGCCGATGAGGTGAAAGGAGACGAGCTTTTTCTTTTCCCTTTCAGCAAGAACGCCGTACTGAAGGCAATTCACAGTGGTGGGTGCACACCTTGTGAGCATACTGCCGAAAGAAATCTGGACGCTCGATTGGCCGTGGCTATTATCAGTCCTGTGCAACCTGACCTGACCTGACCTCGTGGTTCTCCGGTGGCAGTTCAAGTTCAAGGTTAGGTTGAAGGTCGACTTGTACTTGCAGTGATGAACTTGGCGTCGTACTTGATAAAAGGAGAAATAAACCGATTTGAATGTGTTCATCCATATATTTATGCCTCATATGATATACTCGATGGCATGCGTGATGTGGAACTTTCAAACAGAATCCGTGATCATTTAATTTCCATCGAGGATGCCTTTGTTCACAGCCAAGAGTGGACATTAAGCCGCGATGTTTCTGAGATCAAGATAGTAAGGCCTTTCCACTTTTATATTGATGCTTTAGGCATTTCTTGGCTCTCCTAGTAGTGGCAAATCCGGACTGATTCATTTTTTCCTTACTGGTGTCTACGTTCAAGACGAATCGCCAGAGGGTAAGCTGATTGGCAATGTTTTTTTTTCTAGAGAAATTTGGCATGAGAGTCAGTTTTTTTTCGTATTTTATATAAATATCATGGATTCTCGCAAAAAGTAGCTGAGAACTAGCTAGAGCCCGGCCAACACATATGGGCGTTTTTTCGCACAAAAAACCCACGCCAATTCGCGTTTTCTCTCTGATAGTCCATTTTAGTGGCTGCGAACACCAACCTAAGCCTTGCAGAGCACACGTGGTCTGGTAATGCAAGATCCTGGACTAGCATACTGGTTTGGGCTGCATGTCCTAGGAACTGTCATGTCCTGATTGTGGTGTTCCAGTCCCATTGTATTCAGGTCACATCTTGACTTTCGGCTCGAACTAAACCGGATTCTTGCACCACAAGCTCATCATACTTCGGCCCTATTAACCTCCTCTGATTTAGTATATCTTCCATAGGTGCAAGTGGATGGAGCTTCCGATGTGCACGTGTTCAATACTAACGCAGTAATTGGAGCTGTTGGAACCCGGGTGTGAGTTTAGTGATAGTTTAAACTTACTCCTGCTGGCCCCCAAACGAGACCCTCATTACATTCTTATGAAAGGTGTAATTGTAACTACTTAATATATTAAGAATAAAAATGTATCAATAAATATATACAAATTTCTGCATGCTGCTTAATCTTGAGTGAAGTACAACGCCAACAATCTACTCGCGTTTCCCAAGTGGTTTCAAAGTGGTTTTATCATTCAAACACTGATCTAAACTTCAAATGATTACAGGATGATCAACCGATGGAAAACAATTTGTAAAAATATTTTAATATATATTTTAATAATTATCAAAGTAGAATAAAGATCTTGAGATGTTTGTGCTGATCACCCTCAAGAACGAATTCTAACCAGGTTCACTGATGGAACTTTTCAGTCCTCCATCTCTTCTCACTAGATGTCTTCATAAAAAATGAACTTTGTGCGATAAAAACA